TGTTAGAAGTCTGTGAGCGGTCTGTGAGAAGTGTGTGAGCGGTCTGTGAGAAGTATGCGAGCAGTACACGATATTATATTCTTTTATAATTCGATTTAATAATGACCTCATTCGAAAATTCCTTTAGTGTCACTGCACTGCATGTCATGTGTTCTTTCTGCATCTTTCTGAATTTTTGCATATGGCATATGCACATGGCGACTGTGTTTCTTTTGCATTATGCAGTGAAGAATGGAGAATTGAACTTTTTTGGAGTGCAGGCGAGACATAGGGCATGGGCATAGATGGCATAGGCACAAGCCCGGTATAGCCACGGGCTCAAGTTGGGTGCTCCAGGGGCGCTCAAGATATTTTTGGAGCAGGATTCGATATGATGCATCAGAATCCTTTGGCTCAGCCCGAGGAAAGCTTGCCAGGTCCTTGGTTGGATGAAGCAGAAAAGGACTGGGATGATATGGGCCAGGAGTCACTAGAATCAGAACAACTGCTCTCGCAGCTGTCGGATGAAGCTCAGGCCTGTCGCTCGAGTAGCGATACAGAAAGCGAACCTGAGGCCCACGCAGGAGAAGTTCCATGGTGGGTCAAGCAGCTCAAAGAGCATACGGCTGACTGCGGCTTCCCGATCCCTACCAAAAAACAAGTCCAAGTGGTATCGGCTTGCACAGGAGCATCAGCTGAGTCATTTGTTCTCAAGGTACGGGTTCGGGGGTTGCTAAAATCAATGTAGTAAATGTAGTATTTACTACTACTACTACTACTGCTACTACTACTACTACTATTAGTACTACTACTGTATCAGATGTCACTATAGTATACACTGTAGACCGTAGACCCTACTCTACAGCAGAGACTCTCTACTTTTTTCAGAACTTAACGAAACTCAACTAGCAGACAGTGTAGAGTAGAGTAGAGCAAAGTGCGGCAGCATAGGCTCTAGATTCTGGAATCTAGAAATTGTAAAACTGTAAGAGTGTCAGTGTCAGAGTCTTAAGGTCTAAAGTTTAGTCTAAAGATCACGGTTGCCCTGCCAGGCACTTGGGCTGCCGTACCATCTCATGAGTTGTTCCGACCCAAAGCTTAAGTGCCGGGATTTTGTGTGCCAGAACTTTCCCAAGAACCGCCCAACCCACTGGCATTCCACGCTTGAAGATCAAGATGCCAACCGGCCATGCTCTTTTCATCCTTATGCAAAGCAATGCATGGCGGTGCCTTCGGATCCAGATCTAATGCTGGTCGGCAGTCCATGCCATCCTTTCTCTACTCAACGATCTGATCGGTATGCTGCGAGCAGTGTGGAAGATCACCACGAGTTCGGCGTTTGTTTTGAGAGCCTGGTTAGTTTCCTGAAGACTGTAGAGCCTCGTGTCTGCATCAGCGAGCAGGTCGAAGGCTTTAACCGGCCAATCGCCAAGGGCTCAACAGTGACGCCCTACCAGAGGCGCGAGTTTTTGCATTGTGTGACGAGTGACTAGTGAAGGATGTTGTGAAGCGTCATCGCGCTTCTCTTCCTTTTGTTGTTTCCTGATGTTGGCGACAGGTCCAGGAACTTCGCTACCTGCTACCCGCTACCCGCCCTGTCAGGTGGATGGAGAGTATCAAATCTATTCCTTTCAAGAAAGGTGGCTATTACGTGGTGACCAAGCATTTGGCTATGAAGGATTGGATCAAAATCAACAGGGACAGGTGCTCCAGCCACGCTTTTGTTTGTTTCGGTTCTTCAACTCTCAAGTTTGTACAACTGTCTAGGACTTTGAGCGAGTAAGACTAAGACTAAGACTCTGATTTAGACTCGGGGTGGGTTCCTTTGTTGAGTCACTCAGTTGAGTCTTTGATGCACTGACCGCTGATTGGGTTCCAGAAGCAATGACTCTGATCAGACGATTAAACTTTAACTTTAACTGTAACTGTCCTCACCTCTTTCAAAACTGACTTCTAACTACTACTAGCTGCTAACTACTACTTGGATGTAGTTACTAGTTACTACTTACTTACTACTTTGTCCAATTTCTACTGCTACTGACTGCCTCATTTCATAGCCCACCGCTCACCTTTATTGTCGGCCCGGCTTCGCATGTTTGATTCTGGCTGGGATGATGCTTTTGGAGATGATGATGAGTGGCGCGAGAGTGGCGCGAGTGAGAGTGGCGTGAGCCAGAGAGGCACACAGCCATCCGATCAGGGTTGGGAAGATGTCTTCGAGGAGAGTGTCAGTGTAGGAGCAAGAAGCAGTTATGTTCCCTCACTGGGGGAAGACGCAGTCACGAAACGGAAGCGTGGAAGACCAAAGGGAACAACTGGCAGTGCCATGCTACGGAATGCACGGGCTCAATACATGGCTCAAGCGGCTCAAGCCGAAGCCGAACAGCCACGGGAGAACCCAAAAGCAGCAGACTTTTTACCTAGAGCCCGTGCTCACAAGGCACGGAAAAGACAACTTCGCTTGGCAGCGGCGCGTGGCGCCGCTTTGTCCACTGGTGCACCGGCAAATGCTGAATTCCAGGTTGATCCTGGGTCCGATGTGGTTTTGGCACCAGCTTTGTTGCAAAAGACATCGCCGTTCTGGACAGGGTTGATCGAGATTAGCCATGATTCTGGGAGCCCTGTTCAGACTGCACCTTGGGCAAAAATTGGCGACCTGTTATTTGGGCGTGTAAAAACTTGAACACAAATTAATGATTCAAAAGTTCAAAGATTCTTGATTCTTGGATCACGGTGTTAGTTTTTAGTAGTTGCTAGTTACTAGTAACTTAGTACTTAGTAGTAACTAGTAACAGTAACATAATTACATATTTTCCAAAAAGGCTTAGGCCCAGGCATATAATGACACAAGCATTCAGTCATTTGGTCAGAATCTGGTTCAGGCAATTGTCTTGGCCGCAAAATTCAGCAAAGAACATGGGACTGGCGCCGTTGATCCTCGCATAGAACTGTGCTTCAAACCAGGAACACCATTGATGACGCATGCTGCGAAAGGCAGCCTTTTGCACATGAGCTCTGACAAATCTGGTCAAAGCAAGTTGTATTGCATGAGTCGTATACCATATTTCTCGCAATGCGCTGCTTCTGCAGCCACCGAAGCAGGTTGCTTGATGTGGGGCCGCTTTCTGCAGCAAGTTGAGTCAATGATTTCCAGCGGCCGCTTTCGTGGTGTGACGCTGATTGTCAAAAGGCGGTATGATGAAACACCGATGAAATTGCGCTTGAGCCCTGGACAGACTGAGCAAGGGCTGCAGGCCCGAAAGCAGAAGCAAATGGAGACCTCTACACATGCAAAACTGCTCCAATCAGAGATGGCATTGAGCATGCTGTTGCAGGAAGTCGCAGAAACATCCAAGCCTCGGTTCTTGCAAATCCAAGGTCAAGTGCCTTGCAATCTCCAAATTATACAATCCAACACAGGCGAGTGCTTGAAAGCTGCTACGCTGCAGCATCTTCAATGTTTGCCAGGCTTGGACAAGACTTACCAGTATTTCGATTGGGTGTTGCAGCAGTCCTCTGTTGACCAGTTTGGTGCCAACGAGAGAGCAGAAAGAAGCCTTCTCCACGACAAGATGCAGAAAGAAGTCGTTGACACTGCTGACCCGATGCGTGTGAGCAGATTCAGCAAATATACGTCGCTCAATCCTTTGCCTTTCAAGCTTTCTATTTTCTCAGATGGTATGGCATGGCGTTGATATCAAAAAATATTGGTGGTTAGGTCAGGCTCTTATGGTGAATAGTTCAATAGTAATGAACAGTTCATGTCATTAGACTCTCGATCTGGCTGTCCCTTTTTTGCATTGATTAGTTACAGGTACAGGTACCGAGTATCAAATCAATAGATTCAATTCTATCTTGACTTCCCTTTCTTCTTGCGCGCTCAGGAAATTTTGCGATGTACACATTGCAGCAAATGTGCGAAAGAGCATGCTTTCTTTGGTTGAAAGCGATATTAGCGGTATGATTTCCTGCGGTTTGTGCCAGCATGGTGCCGGCGATCTTCACACTTTGAGGGGCATCTTGCGAGAAGTCATCAAGGAAGAACTTCAGATATGCTATGACATGCCTCCAAAGGAATGCTCAGCCCACCGGGAAACTGTTTATGAACTTTTCCTACCATGGCCAAAGCAGAAGCAGCAAAAGCAAAGGTCATCAGCGTGCTCCGTTGCCATGAGGCGTTATGTCTTGGGTACAATGCTCAATGGGGATATCAGCGATGAGTCAGCAATCCATCACTACTGTCCTATGAACTGCTGCCAGGATGAACGACATTGTCTTGACAAGATGATGTCTTGGGTTGTGTGGGCTCTTATTCCCACAAAGACCCCGAGATATACTCGTGGAAAGTGGCTTCAGCAAAGCCCTTGTTTGAATTGGTGTGGACTCCTTGCCTGCCACCATGGACTTCTTCAGAAAGTGATGCTTCGCTTCACTGGTTGTCCTCAAGCTGCCCCACAAACCCAGTTCAAAGAGGATCAGGAGGACAATCGGGCAGGATGGGACTTTCTGGAGGACTTGGGCGACTTGGGGTCAGGCGGAGGACCGGCAGCCACATCAGTTCCAACAGCTCATGAGCAGGCTCAGGAAGCAGGGGGCAATGAACAAGAGGACTGTGAAAATGAGAACGAGCATGAGATTGGTGCTGCCTTCGCTGATGGTGAAGCAAACAATACAAACCAAGAGTCAGAGACCTTATCATCAACAGACTGGCAAATTAGAAACAAGCAATACAAAAAGAAAGCTGGCTTGTGGTCGCAATCCAACCCTGGACCCCGACTTGCTGTGGCGGCTTCAATATTGAATGTTTCGAACCGTTTGCTGCACGCATTTCTCCACATCAGTTCTGATGAATGGGAGAGGCGGGAAGTGCTGAAGGAGGCTTGTGGAGGGCATCGGAGCTTCCGCTTGCTGGTAGCAGCCAGGAATGAAGACTCCAAAGTTTGTTTACGCTCCTTGGGTTCGTTGCTAAATCAAGCAATTGGTGGCATTTCTCACAAATGCATGACCGGCTACATCCGCACCCTCGCTTTCAGGTTGATCTCGCGCATGGGATGTGCGCTCCAGGCTCAACTATGCAACCCACGAAGAGGAGAGCCTTATCAGACGTTCTTGAAGCTTGGGGAAGAAGAGATTTCGCGAGAAAGCCCCCATTGTATGAGAGATGAATTCACAGCAGCTTTCAGAGATAGGTATGGTCCGGAGATGAATTCAGAAGCATTTGCAGTTCTTGAATCCGTAGCAAGACAAGTTGATCTAGATATTGCCCAGCTGGAATCCAAACATGCTGCTATACGAAGGCTGGTTTACACAAAAAACGTGCAGACCTGGGTGCCCGAATTCGCTATCGTTGCAGCAGAGAGGTTGTGCCGTGACACAGCTAGAATCGAAGAGGAGTGGCGCACACATTCACACGTTGAAGATGATGACGCAGCTCGACATCAAAACAAAGCTGGTTCTGCGACCTCAACACCAACAACAAAGCAAACAAAACCATTGAAAAAGATTGGTGGTGGTGCGTGGCGTGTTTACATACATTTGCAACATTCTGGAGAACGCTTCACTTTGGAGACGGTCAGAAAGCTGCGTGATGGCTATCGAAATCTTTCAGACACAGACAAAAAACACTTTGAGGATTTGGGCCGTTTGGCACACATTTCTTGGCAGCATGGCTACAGGCCTTTCCCTGCGCCAGAACGCAGGAAGCAACAGCAACAGCAACAGCTCTTAGATGCGCCTGCGCCCGTAGGGAGTGTTCTTGAAGACGGAACCATCGTCATGGCAGACTCCACCAATCCACAGTCCCTCCAGAAAGTTTCACTTATGTCGCTTTCTCTCAGGGATTTTGATGCAGATGTCAAACAAATTCGGCAGAGCTTCCGCAAAGCAGCCCAAGAGGAGAAGAAACAATTAGCTGAAGACAAGGCTTTACTGAAGCGACATTCGCGAGAGGCCTTGCAAGCCATGCCCGAGTTCTTCCCACGCGTTCCGCCACTGTCAACTTTTGTTGGAGGTGCCTCAAGCTCTGAAGCAGCAGTCTCTGCCACAATGACTTGGTTGCCTCCTTGCTCCGCTATGGCTCAGGAGTGGGCAAGTGACAATTTTTTTCATAGAGTGTGTATTGAATGTAAGGCCAGGGCTTAGGAGGGTAGGTGACTAGTGAGAGCAAGACAGGCTTCTGTCCTAGGTAAATAGTAAATAGCATTAAATAGAATTGAATAGAATAGAATCGAAATCATCAGAGAGCCATTCTCTTTAAGCCTAAGCCTTTAAGCCGCCTTTTAAGCATGCATACTGTGTGACAAGATACTAATTTGTCATTTGGCCAGGAGGCACTGGGATCAAAGAACAAATCAGCGAACGAGATGTCTCTCAAAGCAAAGCTGATGACTGCATGGGGAAAGCGCTCTGACCTTATCCAGCACCAAGACGGCTCCATTCGCTTTGACAAGACAACTTTGACCCGAATGTACAAAAGATCAGTTTGCATGAAGCAAGGAACCTGTGTGTGTAGATTGAGCCATCGCTCCAAGCAAGAAGCTTTCCAGATATTGCAGCGATTGATCCAGCGCATGAAAGTTCATTTTTGGAGTAAGAAGAAGGAGAAGAGTCCAGCGCGGCTTCTTTTGGAAGCGGGGTTTGTAGTCTTGAAGCTAGAGCCACAAGGTAGCGAAACTGAGGGAGAGGGTGAAGTAGAGGCAGAGTCTTTCTATTTCCACATCGGCTACATCAACTTCAAAACGTGGCGGATGGCATGGTCACAATTGGTAGAAAGAGATTTCGCAGAGGACGAGAAGCATCTAGTCACGCAGCGACCTGGAATCTTGCACTTGCAACATGTGCGCTGTTTGGAAGGACAAGATCGCAGAATCAATCCTGATACATGGTTCTCAATGCCTCTGGAAACATTGCCCTTTTGTTTGAATTTTGGTATCAAGTACCAGGCTTCCTACCACCGTTTGTTGGATGATGATGTGCTGTTGCCCAACGAAGAGATGAAACCTGGCTATGTAGAAATCCAGAAGCTTGAAGATGTCCCAGCTGAAGTTCTTTGGCTTGGCTCAGAAGCAGAGGCGGCCGTACGTGGCCAGACCAAGATTAATAAGACGACCAAGACAAAGGCCCAAAAAACAGAGGAAAAGAAATACAATGATGCTGAGGGAGGCCCTTTTGTTGACATGACAAGTTCGGAGAATGATGATGAAGAACAAGAGTCAGAAGATGCGATGCGTGGCCAGAAGACCAAGACGCGCGCCAAGAGAAAGAAAGTACCACCAGAAAATCTAGTCATGGAGTGTGACTTTGAGGATGAGAATGCATCTGGCCCTTTTCTGGATATGTCGGCTTTGGCGCATTCTGAGGATGATGAGGAAAAACATGACAACGCAGATTCTGACTCTTCATCATCATCATCTTCATCATCATCCAGTGAATCATCCAGTGATTCTGAATCTCAGGCTTCAGAGGATGCAGATGCAGACTTGCTTGGATATCTCAGTGATCAAGAAGGTGATGAAAAAGATGCAGTCGAGGCCTTGGCTGCAGAATGGGATGGTTTGGAAAAAGACTCTGAGCGAAAGGAGCAGCTTGACCAACCAGAGGATGGGCAGCCATCCGAACCTGCAAATGAAGATCCTCCAGCAGGGCCAGAATCTGCAAATGACAATGCAGATGAAAATGATGCCGTGGGAGACTCTGATGACGATGGAGAAGAAGGAGGTGGTGATCGAGCCATGCTTCGTGACTTGGGCATTCCTTTTGCCCGAAGACCTGGAGTCTATGAGCAACGGTTTGTGATTGAGGGAATTGGAGAACTTCGGTACAATAGTACTTCGAGCTTTCTCCGCGCACATTGTGACAATCCAGATCATGGAAGCTTCTGCCATCGCCGCAGAACATGTACTGGTTCCAATGGCAGGGGTGAAAAAGCAAGTGGCCAAGGAAGACCAATCGGAAGTCTGGTCGCATGGCTACTTAAAAAAGACTCTTGTGAAACCAGAGAATCTCACATGGCAATGGGGGTCCAGCCTTATGATTCCCGTGTGGCAGCCCGACAGCTGTTTTTGAGACAAGCGAATGCGGATAGTTTTTCTAATTCGGCCGAGCGACCACAAAGGTCAAACGAAGGGCCAGAACCCCGCATGATTCCATGATATCTGAATTGGGGCCTGGGCCTAGTCCTAGGCACTTGCAAAAGCAAAGGCAAATGATTCTTTTGCCGCCTCTAGCCACTCTGCAGGAGTGATGTTCTTGGAGGCCCTCATGCACATGATATCGGCTTTAAAAAATGTCGCGCAATCACAAGTGGAAGTGCAATCAAATGTGTTGAAATGTGTTGAATCTCACAACTAGCTAGCAGCTGGCAGAAAGACTTGAGCGGAACACTGTAGCAGCATCAGTAGCAGCACAGCAGTTTACCAGAAGCGCTGACTATTGAGTTAGTTACTGGGATTTACTGGGCGCTGTGCGCGAGAGCGAAAGCAAGAGAGATAGAGAGAGAGAGAGAGATGGACCTGTTTGGAAGCAACTCTCATGCCAGGATCTTCCTTGTGATGTTCAGAAAGGACCTGTATACTAGATCTGACGTGCAAAAATTTTCCAAGCTCATTGAGGACAGACCACTGTTGGTGGGGATGCAATGCATGTTTGCAGAGTGTTTCGGAAAGGTCACAGGTTCAAGCGACTTTCAATTTCCCTTTCTTTTTGGATGTTAGATTCAATCACCACAACACATCATAGACTCTGGACTATTTATTTAGACTGGGATTTTTTTGAAACGTTAGATTTAGATTCTATTCTATACTGGCGCTGACTGACTGGCTGATGTGACTTAGTTACAGTTACTAGTTACTAGTTACTAAATACAGTTACTACTAAATTAGACTAGTGACTAGTTGTTGCTAACTACTTACTAACTGTTACTAACTAGTAACTGTTAGGTAACTAACTACTACTATAGTAGGCACCAGGTCCTGGTTCCATTGTTTGCCAACCTTCATGAACACAGGACATTGTTCAGAAGCAGAGAGCTATTGGGCCCCGAAATGTGACCAGCATCCTTTTGGCGCCCGATTCGCCACTACTGCCTGACGAAATCAAGAGCCAAAAGTTCAAGGCCAAGGCACGTGCATCCTTATTCCCAAAGTTTTTTCAGCTTAGAGTGCCCAGGTTTGAGCACGTCAGCGCGTCCTCGGTTGTGCGGCTTAGAGCTTGAGCACGTTAGCGGCTGTTAGCGGTGTTAGCGCGTCCTCGGTTTTGCAATTTCGTTTGAGCATGTCAACGCGTCCTCGGATTGCTCGGCCCTGCGTGCGAGCGGTTGCGAATTTATACAAGTGACAGGGGGCCCTCCAAAACCAGTGATTGTTTGATGGCGATGCATTTCACTTCATTTCACTAACTAACTGCACTGACTGCACTGCGCTGGGTCACTTGGTCAATAGGCCTAGGGCCCAGGCTAGGCCCTAAGCCCGACTGCTTAACCGGCTTAACCATTTCATTAATGTCATTGATGATTATCGGTGTCATGGTTTTGCTATACTGCTACTATAGGTAAGCAAACAGCTGGTCTGGATGGACGACTGAATTTGTCACAAATAATTATATACATGAACATTCTTTTAACGCTGCAAGACAAGATTTTGGCGGCCAGTAGCAACCAGTGGGTAGCTACCCTACCAAAAAACGGCCTAAGATTTCCACATGGCTGTTAGCTGGTATATAGTTACTACTACGTTACTACTAGTTACTAGTTACAGTTATACCAGTTACTACATGTTTGCGTGATGAGTGAGAGCTTGGAAAAGGACTTCGAAAGGGTCATTCTTGGGTTAGGGCGACCTTAAGGCCTTAGAGTCTTAGAGGCTTAGGGGCCCACCAGCCACCAGTAAAAAAACACAAGTCGGGGAGGAATTTGTGGATTGAATGAAATGGCGCACGGTGAGTATAGCATGGCCCACCATTACCGGTTCTATAAATCTGAAGCCCCTAGGCCTAGGCCTAGGCCATCATTAGTCACTGGTCACTAGTCACTAGTTACTAGTTTCAATGATTCATTATGGTGGTCAAACGGCACCAATGGTCAGAGCCACCGGCAGGTTTGGCTGGCAGTAACGGTTGAGAAGACTTGGACGAGGACGAGCAAGCCTTCAAAGACTTTTCAAAAGTTCAAAATTCTGGCACGCTTGCAACCCACAGCCTTGCCCCCCTTCAGGAAGGACTACCAGTACCAGACCTCAACAGGAAGTGTCAGATCGCAGTGGGCACTCCCAGACCTCAACAGCAAGCATCAAATCGCAGTGGGCACAACCGGACCTCAACAGCAAGCGGCGTCAGATCGCAGTGGGCACTCGGATCATCGGATCATCGGATTACCGAACCATCGGACCATCGGATCATCGGATCATCCGACCATCGGACATCATCCGACCATCGGATCATCGGACCATCGGATCATATCGGATCATCCGACCATCGGATCATCGGATCATCCGACCATCGGACCATCGGTTCATCGGATCATCGGACCATCGGAGCATCAGATCATCGGACCATGCATCGGATCATCCGACCATCGGATCACCGGATCATCGGACCATCGGATCATCCAACCATCGGACCATCGGATCATCGGATCATCCGACCATCGGACCATCGGATCATCGGATCATCGGACCATCGGACCATCGGATCATCGGATCATCGGACCATCGGATCAGCGGACCATGAGACCATTGGATCATCCGACCATCGGATCATCGGATCAGCGTCGGATCATCGGATCATCGGACCATTAAGACCATCGGGCACCAGCGGCGACAACGCGCGCCGCAGGCCCTTCTGGAGGCTCTGGGTACTGCGCCTGCCACGCGGAAGGCAGCCAGCGGCACCAGCGGCGACAACGCGCGCCGCAGCCCCCTCTGGAGGCTCTGGATACTGCGCCTGCCACGAGGACAGCAAGCGGCACCAGCGGCCATCGGATCATCGGATCATCGGACCATCGGATCATTAGTGGATCGACTTGGCGACCTCAACAGCAAGCGTCAGATCGCAGTGAGCGCTCCCAGCCCAGCAGCAAGCGTGAGGTCACAGGGCTCTGCCCACGCCCTTCTGCAGACCTCCGGACCACCACTTCGGGGCTGTGAGCGGGGCTGTGAGCGGGGCCCACCCACACCCCCGTTCACAGCCCCGCTCACAGCTCACAGCCCCGCT